TAAAGGTTGTATTAATATATTAATGAGTACATTCAATGAATAAAAAAGAAATTACACACGAAAATTCAATTACTAACATTCAATTGATTTTTTTCTTTACAATTTTTAATTTTCATCAACAACGGCCTTATTATCAATTTAATTAATATTTATTATTTGATTTAGAATTAATATAAGTAGTGAAATATTTAATTTATGTTTATCGTTTGGGTTGGAAGTAATATAAGGAGTGAAATTGACATCCGATTATTAAAAAATTAAAAAATAAAATTAACGAAAATTTAGTGACTTATCATTCAATTGAGTATTTTGTTTTAACAATTTTTATTTTCTATCAACAAAGCAATTTTTTATTTTTCATCAACAAAACACTTATTAATTTTCATGATTTACATTATAATTCATCCATTGAGTTTTTATTTTTCATTAACAAAGCAATTTTTATTTTTTATTGACAAAACCCTTATTAGTCTTCATGATTTATATTATAATACATCCATTAAATCATTATTTAATTGAGGTTACAAAGGTTGCATTAATGTATTAATGAGGTAACAAATGTGCTAAATGTTGCAATTAATATATTAATTGGGACATTCGATCACTAAAATAATTGTATACAAAGAAATATTATTGTAATCACATCATTGAATTTTAGTTTATTCAACATTTTCATATCATATACATAATTTCATAAAAATTTACACACACACACACACACAATTGTAATTTTCCCTTTAACAATTTCAATTACCTCTATTATTTTAAATAATAATATTAGTAATTCAAAAATAGTACATATATCATTCATCGATACATAAGATGTACAACGCACGTGCTTACTACTAGTAATACTAAACGTTTTGATCTCATAAAATGTATGGTTAAAATTAAATGCTAATTTTAACTTCAATTTTAATAAAAAAAAATTTAAGTTGAACCAAATAGGGACTTCTAAGAACCAATCTCTAATTTTCGATGTCATAAGCTGCTAATTTTATCATAAGCCACTCCAAATATACACCAAATTTAAGAAAAAAAATATTTATGAAAGTGCTCTTTAACATGCATCTACCTCATAAATTTCATATATTAGTACATATTGCCTCGAGAACT